ATTTGGACCCTTCTGCCCTTGAGTGGACAAGTCCCACAAGCACCTACTTGTGATTGGATCCCCTTCTCTCATGATCAGACTCCTCTCACCACCCATGATCCAAATCCCATCTCCCAGTGTCTAAATGTAGCCACCCTCCCCCTTCTTCCCACCAATGTATCAACAGCCTACTATCTCCTCCTTAGCATCACCTCCACCCTGCTCCCACAGAACCCTTATCCTTTCTCTCTTATTCTTGCCCTCATTCTTAGGTTAGCAAAGGTAAAGAAGTATTTAAAATTAATTTTGTAGCTTTATAAAGACAATGCAAGTATCTAATTGGAAGATAACTTTGTTAACTTGTGGAACAGTGAATTGGATCAATGAACCAATTAAATGGCCATGCAACAAAGTACATTTGTACTCAAAACTGAAAAATGGACTAGCCAGAATAGAACTCTTACAGGTCAGAACCAAAGAAGATAAGTTGTTGAAATAAATAATTAATTTTTTTTCTACAGATGGTACTAAGGTCATGCTGTCAAATTCCTTGTTACCCTTTAAGCAAAGCAATCTGGTTTGAAATAGTATCATTATTGATTGTTGTTCGAAAGAATGGTAAATTCTAAATTTGTTTGGATCCCATAAACAACTGGTAAAGAAAACATCCTAAATTTTCAACTTATGAGGAATTTATGACATAAGTTACTAATGCATTAATATTTTAGTCACTAAGTTTTATCTTCATGTTCTTGTGCATGATAGCAAGATCAAAGCAAGTTCCACTTTTACCATTAGGCAAGATTTACAGCCATAGATCATAGAGCTGTACAGCATGGAAACACATCCTTTGGTCCAACTCGTGTGTGCCAACCAGATAATCTAAATTAATCTAGTCCCATTTGCCAGTATTTGGCCCATATCCCTCTAAACTCTTCCTATTCATATACCCATCCAGTTGCCTTTTAGATGTCATAATTGTACCAACCTCCACTATTTCCTTGGGCAGCTCATTCCATACACTCACCACCCTCTGCATGGAAAAGTTGCTCCTTACATCCCTTTTAAATTTTCCTGCTCTCACCTTAAACTTATGCCCACTAGTTTTTACCTCAAGATTCGTTCAGCTTATGAATATATTCAGAATAAGCTGTAAAATTTTACTGGCATTGTTTGTGTCAACATATCAATTGGTGACATAATAATTTGCAGTTCAGTTAAAGAAAACGATGATAGCAGGCTAGAATGTAATTGAAGCTACTAGGTGAAGGAGTCAATCTGTAACTTGAACAGGATTCCTTGAATTCACTTCACAATCATTTGTGGTGAACATTGGGAGGGAACTTCAACTTGCAGCCAAAATAGAAATGAAATGTATGGAGCGTCTGTTGTATCTGTCTGATGACATGGGCAAGATTCACAAAGCAAACTGGGGGCTAGGTCAGTTGAGTTTGCCATTACTGCTCATGTTGCTTACTGACAGTTCTCCTACAAGACAAGAGCAGCCCTGTCACGTTTAAAACCAAAAGTGCATCTCTGAAAGGGAAGCAAGAAACATTACATTCAAAACCTATGCAATTTAAAGAAAAATTAAATGATTTGACCAAGATCACTAAAGTACAACTGTTACTCACTCCTTATCGTCAGTTTTACCCTGTGCCACTGTTATCCAAAACTCACAAGCCTTCCCACCCATAATTTCCATTATTTTACTTCATTTACAGGTGCACACCAATTGATCTCCTGCCATTAAAAAAATTGATTGACTCTGTTGTAGAAGGCAATGGTGTGCTAGGTGTTAATGTTTATGTTACATCTGGTCCATCTATTCTACTGATGTCTCACACAGTCCATATATAGAGATGAGGAACTTTGCTTCACCTTCATAGGGAGCAGATGTTTCTGTGCCAGCTCCTTAAGGTCCTAGTCGCCGTACCTGACTAGAATACCGTTGTACTATTGCTATCATGCAATAAACCTTCTTATTACTGAAGAACAGAGCTTCTTCTGTAGCTACTCTATAGTGGTGTATCCTTTACCTCTAAACATTAGACAGGCCCAACATAAAGAAGGATTGCTGGCAGGGAACTATCTCAAATGAGCCCAATGCGCTATCACAAGAAGTGGCATATATCACAAAGTTCCAAGAGTCCCACAACAGTGTTAGAGAGGGAGTTCCAGAATTTTGATCAGGGACAGTGAAAGAACAGTGATATATTTCCAAATCAGGATGCTGAGTGACTTGGAGGTGATAATGTATCTGCTGCCTTGTCCTTCCAGATGAAAATGGTCATGTGTTTGGAAGGTGCTGTCTGAGGAGCCTTGGTGAATTTCTGCACTGTACCTTGTAGATGGTACATACTACTGCAACTGTGTGTTGATGGTGGAGGGAATGATTGTTTGTGGATGTGATGTCAATAAAGCAAGCTGCTTTGACTTGGATGGCTTGAGGCTTCTCGAGTGTTGTTTGAGCTGCACCCATCCAGCAAGTGGGGAGTATCCCATAACACTCGTTACTTGTGCTTTGTAGATGGCAGACAGGCTTTGAGAAGTCAGGAGGTGAATTAGTTTTGCGGCATTCCTGATCTTGTAGCCATTATGTTTATATGGCTAGTCCAGTTCAACTTCTGGCCAATTGATGGAAGGTGTTTGGGCTTAAAACACTACCCTAAGGAACTTTTGCAGAGATGACCTGGAGCTGAGATGACTGATCTCCAACAAACTACAATCATATTCCTTTGTGCCAGGTAAGACTCCAACCAGGACAGTGATTTCCCCCATCCTCATTGACTGTAGTATTGCCAGGGCTCCTTGATGGCATGAACAGTCAAATGCCTTTGTTTTGCATAAAGTTTATAGCACACAAACATGCTATTTTGCTTGACACGTCTACACCCCACACAAACGTCCTTCCATCCTTAATATTGTTTACACTGACTTAGATAGTAATAGTTGTTCCCAGTTGTGGAGGGAAAAAACAGTTTTTATTACACACTTAATGGAAATTTATTGAAAGGAGCATATGTATGGAAATCAGGTGAAGAGAACATTTTGACCGCAATACATACCATGTTAAAATAGCCCTTTTTTTTAACCAGAGATGCTGCCTGTCTTGCTGAATATTTCCAGTATTTTCTTTTTTGTTTCTGTAAAAATAGTTTCCTGATATTATCTTGGTTTACTTATGAATAATGGTTGATATTCTAAGATCTGCTTGACATCTGTATGGTCATAAGATGTAGGAGGAAAAATAGACCATTTGGCCCAAAGAGATAGTAGGAACTGCAGATGCTGGAGAATCTGAGATAACAAGGTGTAGAGCTGGATGAACACAGCAGGCCAAGCAGCACCAGAGGAGCAGCTGGTCCACCATTCAGTGAGATGGTAGCTGATCTGATAATCCTCAACTCCATTTTATTCCCTTTTCCCCATTACGTTTATTTCCCTTATTGATTAAAAATCTGTTTATCTCAGCCTTGAATATGCTTACTGTTCCAGCTTCAACTCACAGACCCTCTGCAGTAAAGAATTCCACAGGCTGACTACTCTCTGAGGAAAAACTTTCCTCCGCATCTCTGTCTTACTTTACGATCACTCTGAGATAATGCCTTCTTCCCTGTATTTTCCTACAAGGGAAAACAACTTCTCTGCATCTACCCTGTCATATCCCTTAATAATCTTATATGTTTTAATAAGATCTTTCATTCTACTAAACTCCAGTATGTAAAAGACCAATCTACTCAACAATTCCTGATAAGAAAATACCTCCATACACAGGATAAAACTAGTGAACCTTCTGTGGACTGTCTCCAATGCCAGTATATCTTTCCTTAGACAAGAGGATTAAAACTGTACACATCTTCAATGTGTGGTCTTACTGGCAACATACTCCAGAGGTCTACCATTAACTGTATGCTGGGAAGGGCTACCGAACAAAGGGACCTACGGATGCAGATGCATAGTTCCTCGCAAGTGGAGTCACAGGTAGACAGAGTGGCGAAGAAGGTGTTTGGCACGTTTGCCTTCATTGGTCAGAACACTGAGTATAGGAATTGGGACATCATGTTGCGGCTGTACAGGACATTGGTGAAGCCACTTTTAGAAAACTGCATACAATTCTGATTGACCTTCTACAGGAAGGATGTTGTTAAACTTGAGAGGGTGCAGAAAAAATTTACAAGGATGTTGCCAGAGTTTGAGAGTTTGAGCTACAGGGAGAGGCTGAATAGACTGAGGCTTTTTTCCCTGAAGCATCAGAGGCTGAGGGGTGACCTTATAGAGGTTTATAAAATCATGAGGGGCATAGGCAGGGTGAATAGCCAAGGTCTTTTTCCTAGGCTGGGGGAGTCCAAAACTAGAGGCCCTGGGTTTAAGCTGAGATGGGAAGGATTGAAAAAGGACATGAGGGGGTAACCTTTTCACACTGAGGGTGGTGCGTTTATGGAACGAGTCGCTAGAGGAAGTGGTGGAGGCGAGTACAACTGCAACATTTAAACATCATCTGGATGGCCCACACTATATTCCACCTGCTGAGGTTTTGCCCAATGACTTCACCTGTTTATATTTCTTTTTAGATTCTTTGTGTCATCTTCACATTTTCCTTCCCACCTATTTTTGTATTATCTGCAAACTTAGCAATAATACATTCATTTCCATCATGTAAGTCATTAATATATATTGCAAATCATTGTGGCCCCAGCACTTATCCCTGTGGCAACCTATAACATTAATTACAAGTTGCAATCCTGAAAATGCCCCCCTCATCCCAACTCTCTGTCATCTATTTGTAAGCCAATCCTCTCTCCATGCTAAGAAAGTATGCCCAAAACCATTGGCTTTTTTTAAAACATTGTCTGAAAATCCAATGGTGTTGGGCATACTTTATTTGTATTAAGGACTTTGCTTTTCTGTTAAATTTGTTTTATATTTTATCTGACTTTCTACAGCATTGGCTCAGTTACTAGAGTGAAATTTCTCAAATGTTTACTATCATTTAATTATTAAGAAAATGAAGCTTTTACCTGGATGGTGTTCTTGATTTGCTGAGTGCTTTACTAATGGCCATAGTGGGTGCTGAGCGTCTCCTCTCTGCTGCAGGTTTCATCCTCTGTGTGAGAAAAGGATAACAATAATGCTAATGATAATTTTAAGATATGGTCCACAATATAAAATGCCTGTATTATACTTCCTGTTGTTAATTCAATTGTACCCTAAGTCAAGTAATTTCCAAGAAATGGAAAAAGCTGCAATTTATAAGACGAAAATTGTAGAATAATCATATGAATTTTGAGGTATATACGTTTCCTTCAAGCATCCTATTAATCTATTGGCTATCTGATAAAATATTGTCAACCTGAAATGTTAATTCTATTTGTTCATCCTCAGATGCTGACAGATTTGCTGACTACTTCCAATATTTCTGAGTTTTTTCCTTTGTTCATTGGACCTGGGCATCACTGGCTGAGCCAACATCTATTGTCAGCTTCAATTGCCCTTGGGAAGGTGGTGGAGAGCCACCTTCTTGAATCGCTGCAGTCCATGTCATGTGGGTACACCCAGAGAATTGTTTGGGATGGAATTGAAGGATTGTGATCCAGTAACGGTAAAGGTTCACTCACAATATTCCCCAGTCAGGATGCCGTGTGACTTGGAAAGAAACTTGCAGCTGGTCACGTTCTCATGAGTCAGCTGTCTTTGTTCATCCAGGTGGTAGACATTACACACTTGAAAGATGTTGTGAAAGGGTCATTTATAAGCCGCTGTAATGGTGATAATTGATAAGCGTTGCTGTCCACATGGGCTAGTAGCGGAGGAAGTAAATGTTGAGAATAATGGATGGGATGTGTTGCTTTATCCTGGGTGGTGTTGAGATCCTTGAGTGTTATTGGAGATGCACTCATCCAGTAAAGTTTTTATTTCATATTTCAAGAATCTATAGTGTTTCAATTTCAATGAATTGACTATCATTTTTAAAAATTGGTACCCACTAAAAGTTAACAGATTTAAAGAGTACAGTTTATAACCTTTAGCATTAATAAAAGAGAAGCATCTTCCAAGACATGGACCTAGATTTTCGAGTGGTCATGGAGACTCAATGTATTATCCAAAATGTTACTGCAGCCCCTAGATCCAGAAGACCTACCCACATTTTCAACAGATCTTGTTTTTTATTGATAGAGGAATGGGGAGGGTCAAGAATGATGGGGAAGTCCAAACTCAGCAGAATCATTTGAATTCAGTGCTAAGTTCAAATAGATTTCATTTTTATTGGAATGAGGGCTTTATCATAGAGTATTTCTTACAATCTTTTAAGCAAATAAAAATGCTCATATACAATGAATAAAGTTTGTTGAATTATCAGGCTGACAAGTTCTTTAAGTCCACTGCCCTTTACATTTGAACAAAAGCAGCCTGTCAGTCTCTGTGAGTTGAATAACAAATCTGTGCTCTGAAACAAAAACAGAAATTGCTGGAGAAACTCAGTAGGTCTGGCAGAATCTATGGAGAGAAAGCAGAGTTAATGTTTCGGGTCCAGTGGTCCTTCTTTACAAAAAATCTGTACTGACAGTTTCAATTGTTGTTTGTCTACATAACACTAAGTGTGATTATTAAAACATTATCACTGTTTTGACTATTTTCACAACCTGTCATTATCACAGTGGGGGCGGGGGTGGGGGTGGGAGTGGGGTGGAATGCATAAATCCATAGTTTGATTGAATAGTACAAGAGGTGATTAAAGGATTCACTGTTTTTGATGTTGGGTATTGAATACTATTGTTTGTTTTTTGTAAGGGGATTAGTACTGGAGGAGATTTACATAAAGTAAAACGATTTTTTTATGAATGAGAGGTTGTTGTATGTAGTGAAGTCTGTAATAGATACTTAGAATTTTACTTTATTTCATCTCAGTATGACTACTGAGATCAACCCACAAGGAGTACTGGGCTATTGTGTAGGTTGGCATTGAAAGAATAAGGGCAAAATATAGTGCAGTATAGGAACCATAAGGGATGGGGATGAGTGAAGGTATAATTTGTCTTGAGCTGACACGAAGTTGGAATCCTCTGGATGCACAAGAAGGACAGGTGGGCCAGAATTCCTTGTCCTCAATGCTATTTTCTCCAGAGGAGCGAGGTGTAGTCTCGTCTCAGGCTGAGGATGTCCTGATTGGTACAGAATGATGAAAGCTGCTGGAGAGAGACCTGCCACATGAGGGGGTGGAGTAGCCATCCTATCACAGTGGCTATCAAGGTAACTGCTGTGCTAAACTTTCATGCAACTGGTTGCTTCCAAGTAGCCACTGGCAACCTGTGTGGAATCGCATAACACTAGACATACAAATACATCAACCGTCTCACCAATACAATCTGTGCCAGATCACACTGTTTCAGCTCATTTTCCCATTTGAAATCAGTGCTGCACTGGGGCAATAGGCTTTGCCAATATAGCTGTCATCACCCAGGTGTACAGCATGATAGACACATTGCATTGAGAACGCCATACCATTACTCAGCTGAGTACATCAATAAAAATTCAATAGATTTCTATTCCATCAATGTGTAAGTCATCTATAATCATTGACACCACATCTTGGAAGTCTGCGCCAGATACTCTGGGATCTGCCACAATGTCCACATGCTTGAGAGCTCTTATGTTTTTGTTTCGTTTAAGAATTATTTGCTGCATAATTCTTGTTTTGTGCTCTGCACAACTAGAGCAAGCAAAAAGAGCCTGAGATTGTTATGGCAGAGCCAACGGCACTGTAACAGCCTTCCAAGAAGGAAGATGAGGACATTGAGCAAGAGGAACATCACCTGCTGCTTGACAGAGCTGAGCAGCATCAACTGCAACGAGGTGGACAGGACTTAGTTAACACTTGGTTCTAGTAGGTGAGAATTGGGTGCGGTTATCAATCATTGATTGTAAATATGTTGTTGCTAGAAAGGCAAACAGTTCTTGCTTGTTCCCAATGACAAATGCAGCTTCAGTTTGTTTGTTTATTTGTTTTGTTCACCTTTGTTGTTGCTAAATGAAAGTGAATTTTTTGAACTGTTTGAAGGCTTTCCTGTGTATATGTGCATCTGTATGTGCAATGAAATGTCAGCCATGTGACCTGAGAAGTGTGAATTTGTGTTTGCTATCTCTATGTGCACAGTAAAGGGCAACTCTGGAATGCCAACATTTGACTCAGTACATAACTGGCTTTCAAAGATAATGCCTGCTCAAGGGATCCTGAGATATCTGAAACTGGCAAGAATGTTTGCCTATGGCAAATGGAAGAATAGGATTGGTGGGTGCCATAATGGTGGCCCATTGGTAAGAAGGTGAGTTTGGGAGGATAGCATGAGAAGATTTGCAAGACATAAGAACATAAGAACATAAGAACTAGGAGAAGGAGCAGGCCATCTGGCCCCTCAAGCCTGCCCCGCCATTTAATAAGATCATGGCTGATCTTTTTGAGACTCAGCTCCACTTACCTGCCCACTCACCATAACCCTTAATTCCTTTACTGTTCAAAAATTTATCTAGCCTTGCCTTAAAAACATTCAGCGAGGTAGCTTCAACCGCTTCACTGGGCAAGGAATTCCACAGATTCATAACCCTTTGGGTGAAGAAGTTCCTCTTGACCCCAGTCCTACATCTGCTTCCCTTTATTTTGAGGCGATGCCCTCTAGTCCCAGTTTCACCTGCTAGCGGAAACAACCTCCCTGCCTCCACTTTATCTATTCCCTTCATAATCTTATATGTTTCTATACGATCTCCCCTTATTCTTCTGAATTCCAATGAGTATAATCCCAGTCTACTCAGTCTCTCCTCATAATCCAACCCTCTCAACTCTGGAATCAACCGAGTGAATCTCCTCTGCACCCCCTCCAGTGCTAGTATATCTCTTCTCAAGTCAGGAGACCAAAACTGCACACAGTACTCCAGGTGTGGCCTCAACATTTTACTCCATCCGCCAGACCTTTGCCCACTCACTTAGACTATCTATATCCCTCTGCAGACTTTCAGCGTCTTCTGCACACTTTGCTCTACCACTCACCTTAGTGTCATCTGCAAATTTTGACACACCACACTTAGTCCCCAACTCCAAATCATCTATGTAAATTGTAAACAATTGAGGTCCCAACACTGATCCCTGAGGCATACCACTAGCCACTGACCGCCAACCAGAAAAACACCCATTTATCCTACTCTTTGCTTTCTACTGTTCAACCAATCCTCTATCCATGCCAATACATTACCTGTAATACCGTGCAACTTTATCTTATGTAGCAGCCTTTGGTGTGGCACCTTGTCAAATGCCTTCTGGAAATCCAGATACACCACATCCACAGGTTCCCCATTGTCCACCATGCAAGTAATGTCCTCAAAGAATTCCACCAAATTAGTTAAACGTGACCTACCCTTCATGAACCCAATGGGACAATTTATATCCAGATGTCTTGCTATTTCTTCCTTAATGATAGATTCAAGCATTTTCCCCACTACCGAAGTTAAGCTAACTAGCCTATAGTTACCTGCTTTTTGTCTACTTCCTTTTTTAAACAGTGGTGTCACATTGGCTGTTTTCCAATCTGCGGGAACCACCCCAGAGTCCAGTGACCTCCTAAGACCTCACAGAGAGAAACTAAAATTGACTTTTTAGACAATTTGTGGTAAGATTTAGCCCCTGACCTGAATTAGACTGATTGGTTGGGCAACCTGACACTGACAGGAAATGAATGTTGTCTGCGTACGTGGTTCACCAGACTTCCTCTACATTTTATGAACAGCAGCCAATAAAGTGGCTGCCAACAGCAATGCCCAGCAACTGTTAGGGTCCCAGTCCTCAAGAGTTCCTGGTCCAATCTAGGGGCAGGTAACATCTAGCCTCCTGTCTCCACACGCAATGAAATTTTTAAACAATCCCATGTCATTATTTGAGGAAGGCCAGGATGTTCACTCCAAAACATTCTTTGCTCAAACTGAGCCTAAAAAACAGATGTTCTGGCTTGCAGAGCCTTGCTGTGCACAAATTAGCTGTTCTTTCCTATTAAATGTTGTAATTGCTCATTGTCTGTTAAGGCCTTATGGATGTCCTGATGTTGTGGAAGATACATGCAA